AGTCCTGTGTGTGATTTCCTTTGTTGCTTGCCGGCTGTTGGGGTACTGGGCTGGACAGAAACCCCAACAAGCCAGCCCTCGTGTTACAAATCTGTATAATAATTATTTGTGTTTACTACATGGATCTTCACAAGGTTCTCTGCATAGATCTTATAGCTTTCAACTTCATATTTTTATGGGACTTCTGTGTGAGCTAATGGGTCTTGAATTCTTGTGCCTGCTCTTGGGGCTCTTTTCCTTCTGTTGGGTTGCCTTGTCCAGCCTCAGTGAGATGATTTTTGCTTCGTCTTATTATATTTTATTTTTTCATTTTAGTTGTCATTTCTTAGAAACCTGTTCTTTTCTAGTGAGACAGAGAGTGGATCCTGAGGGGAGAGAAGGTGGAGAGGAATTGGGAGGAGTGCGGGGGCAGGGGAAATATAAACGGAATACATTGTATGAGAAAAGAATCTATTTTCTTTTTTGTTTGTTTGCTTACTTGCTTGCTTGGTTTTTTGTTTTGTTTTGATTTGGGTTTTTGAGTTTTTTCTTTTTTATCTTTTTTTTGGGGGGGATAGATTTCAAGAAAGAGTTCTCTGCGTAGCTTGGCTGTCCTGAAACTTGCTTTGTCGACCAGGCTAGCCTCAAACTCACAGAGGTCTGCCTGCCTCTGCCTCCCAATTACTGGGATTAAAGGCATACACCACTACTGCCTTGTAAGAATCTATTTTCAATAAAAGGAAAAACTAGTTGCTATTTATTCTATATATCTACTCTACTACCTAGAGTCGTACTACCCTAGGTCACAGAAGCTTCTTTTTTCTGTGAAAGATGGTTACACAGAGACTCGTTACTATTCAAACTGCCCAGAGTGCTCAGCCCTAAACAGGACATCTATATTGTTTCCTCCAAAACCCAGGGAACTCCTCAGAAGAGGGGAAGAGAGACTGTAGGAGTCCGAGAATGGAGAAGACCACTATGGAATGCTGTCTTCCAGACATGGCACGGCAATCATGAACTCATTGTTACCTGTGCAAGACTTGTACAGAGAGGAGAGAGAGAGAGAGAGAGAGAGAGAGAGAGAGAGAGAGAGAGAGAG